AAAAAGACAAACTTCCTCTAAAGTTTCAAAAGTTGAAAAAAAAAATCTCCATCCAGAGCACTTAAGTAAGACAGTAAGAAAAATCTCTACCTCTATGTAAATTTTCCAGTTAGGCCAAAGGTCTGCCAAAAAGCCCCATAGAAACAACCACAAACCACTAGGAGGGTGAAACCCCATGCCCTATCTAAGGCCTTGTGCCTGGAGGCAGCACCAACATACACAGGACTAGGACTGACACCCTCGCTGCAGCTCCCAGGCCCACGGAGCTCGTGTACTCACCGGAAGTCCATCTCTGCAAGCGTCTCCAGGAGCTCAGTCCTCACCAGCCAGTAGGAGCTTCCCCTCAGGGCCAGCAGGTCCACCAGCAGCTGCAGTCCTAGGCCGCTATAACTGCTGCTGCAAAGACTCAGGACACAGTGCTGAGAGCAGGCATAGGCGAAGGTAGGTCAGTCCCTCGACAGCACCAGGACGTGTGAGCACAGTGCTCTTTCACACACACCAGCCCTGTGATTTTTACACTGCAACAAGATGCTCCTACACTTTATCTCATGAAACTCAAGTTCACAAATAAATGCATCCCTTTCACATAAAAGTTGTTTCTTTCACCCTCTTGTTCTGCCTATATCATGGCTTTGCATCCTAAACAATGCTCAATCTATGATTAAAAAATCAATTTTGGGCGTACATGGAATTAGTAGCCAGGGAGACCATGCAACACATCCCTAGCACCGTTTAAAATAAGCCTCAGCCCCAGGGTAAGGGCAAGGGGCACACAGCAAGGGGCTCCCTGTGCCTGTCCCAGGGCCTTGGCTGCTCAGGGAACAGAGGAGCTTCTGCCGCTGTCTCCCCTGCAGCCTCTGAGCCACATACAGACTGACAAATGGGGACACAGCCAGCACTGTGACTGTACTGCTGACACACACCCTCGACTCAAGACCACACACACCCACTGCACTTGGCATAAAACTGCAACTAGAGAAAAATTACTGTCAGGCCATGAAATCTTTAAAAGGGGAGACAGTCCATAAATCTGAATTATAGGTGTTCAGGTTTTGATTTTCATTGGCTAATTTTGATTTTTTTTGGCTGATTGCTCATTACTTATGAGCCTGCTGATAAAGGTTCCACATGTTCTCATGTAAGGAACTGAGGCTCTTCCATGTGATACAAAGAAGCAGAGTAAGGAATTCTTACGGCTCACTTTAACTTTTTTTTTTTGAAATGAAATTATTTTATCTTCTCAAGAGGAAGAAAAAGGCAGCTCTTCATAGGTCTTTCTTCTTTTTTTTTTAGTTGTCTTAAATGTCAATGATCACAAAAACTTCTGGTTTCTCTTCATTATAGACTTGCACTGCTGAATATGTTATTGCTTTGACTTCTGTTCCCTGAGGATGCTTGGAAAGTGAGAATTCTTCTCCCCACCCAATGGAACATAATTTGAAATTTCTTTGATCAATACTAAGTCCTTTCACTTCCTTGGGCTTCTACTTCTACTGTCTGGAGGGGCTCCACAGTCCCAGTGTCTGCCATGTACGCAAACATGGCCATGGCACACGGCTCGAACGCCTCCTCCAGAGTCTCTCCCCACGCATGTAACATTTGTACTTCTGAATGACTGGAGGATACTTGGCCTCGATTGCTTTCTGGTCTTCAGTTAAATTGTAATCTCTAACATCTTCCTTTTCCTGCGCCATGATTTCCGAACTGAACATACTATCTGGCTCACTTTAACTCTTAAACTCTATGGGCCAAATACAGGATCTTCTTGTAAATCAACAGAGATTACATTTAGTAATAGCAAGGTATCTTTTAAAATATGATTTTATTTTTATATTATTTTGTTTTTTTCAGTACTGGGATCAAAACTAGGGCTTTCACAGTGAACTATATCCCTAGCCCTTTAAAAAAAATTTTTTTTCTTTTTTAGTTTTTGAGACAGGGTCTTGCTAAGTCACTAAGTTACCCAGGGCTGGGCTCAAATTTGAAATCCTCCTCCTTCAGCTCCCCAGAGTTGAGGTTTCAAACATGCAACACCATGCCTGGCTATGAATACACCCTTTAAAAGAAGGTATATTTCAAGTAAGTTTTCTGAGAATTAAAGCTTAAAGTTTACTAAGCTTTAACTTTATTGGCACAGTTTTTTTCTAATGCTGAGTGATGAATACATAGATGTTAATTATTGTTTACAGCTTTAGAATGGGTGGAACTATTTCATATTAAGCTCCAACTGTAATTGTAACAATGGTAAAATGTCCACTCATCACAGAAATGGTTCAGAAGGAAGTCTGTGCTCACCCTCACAGCTGTACAAGCCAACTTGCAAGTCACAGAAGATTCATCCTTCAATGTTTTCCGCAGCAGAGGGATGCAGTCCGCTAGAGAAAATGTATTTCCTAAACCAAAGAACAGGGAATAAACATCTTCACGTATGCTTAAGTTCGGGATGGTATCTGGAAAGGGCGAGAGGTAAACTGGCTGTTACCTGTCAGTGTCCTAATGGTGCCCAGCCAGTCCCCCACGTGGAAGCGGGACCTACTGAGCACAGAGGAGATGAGGGTTCCGCAGAGAATGGCAGTGGCTCCTCGGACCTGTGGGTCTCCGTGGTCGATGTAGTTCAAGACGTCAGAGACATACTGCTCCTCTGTGGGAGGAATTGGCCAGCCACTGTACAATTCTCTACTGTCAACTTCCTACCTCAAAGTACAAGCTTAGCTCTCAGAACGGGGGATGGGTGGCTTTCCAAATCTGAAATGATTTACTATAATAACTTCAGTGCTAAAATGCTGGGGAGTTCAAGAATTCTAAAGTGACCATATTGCTGATACTGCCTTAATATAATCCAGATTCTATTGACTGTAATTCCAGGCTGTTGGACTAATAATGAGAATTCCAGGATTTCATTAAAAAAAAAAAAGATTAGAAAAACCTGAAAATATTACACATTTACCTAATGTAAACTCAAAAGCAAAATGTACCCTCTCACCCATGGACAGAAAAACAGAAGGTAGGAAATAATTTCCACTCCACCAAGATCGTATGCGACAGAGGCAGGGCTGCTGCCGCCCAGCCAGTCTCAAGCAGTCCCCACCTATCTCTGCGCATGGACACCCGCCCCAGCCCAGGTGACTTCGCAACTTCGATGATGTGGTTTGTACTATAGGGATAAACCCAGTATGTATGGGAATGGCTCATATGTTCCAAGATCTTTACCCTCAGTTATGTGCATTTCAGCTACAAACACAGCATCTAAAGGGAGTCCACAAGCCTAAGAATGCTACTGTTTATGTGTCTATGGAGAGCTACCACACAGCTCAAATACACAAACTAACTCCAAGTATGCAATGCTCTAAAACGGAAACAGGCTGAAATCGTCTTAAAAATAATGATTAAATCCAAGAGAAAGATGTGAATTTTGAACATACCAGGGTATTCCACAGTGTCCAGAGGTACTTTATACAGTTTGCTGAAGAAAGATTCCGGATGCAGGGCAACAGCTGCCCCAACACAGCTAAGGGCCAGGGCCTTCACACTGACCCTCACATCTCTGTCCGGAACCAGCACTGCAAAGAAACCAGCCGCCCACGTTCAGCCTTTTCACACAAACAAAACTAGACCCCACAGAACACCTCCCCCTCCATCAGTCAGTACAAGGCCAAGCCCACCCCCAACAAGGTGACAACAGGCCATGAACCTGATGTCTAAAACATTAAGTATTTGTTCAACCTTGTCCCTGCCCTTCCCTGCTTACCATTTTTTCCTCCACTGAGCAAAAATGAAGCAGATAAAAGGCGGACACAATGGACCAGAGGAGCAGAATCGTCATCAGTGGACTGTCCTATGTCGCCTTTGACCCAGCAAGGCTAGAACACAGAAGCAGACACACCTTCGTGCCAATTCATTCAACAGGTTGTTCCAGAGCAGCAACTGTGCCAGGTGCAGGCTCAGCATTGCCTGCATTTGCCGATACAGATGCCTACAGCCAAGCAGAGTCTGGCAAGTCAGTGTCCACACAGACACAGGGCTGTGACAGGGGCCAGCTCACAAGAAAGGAAGGTGCATGGGACAGAAGAGCAGAGGCCAGGCATTCAGAAAGGCTCTTCAGGGAGGCAAAGCAGGTGTGATCTTCTATAGGTCAAGCAGTAAACGGCGCACGGAAGGCTAAGAGTTAGAAGGAGTAGGCCTGCTTTGAGGGGATCTGCAAGGAACTGTCAGGGATAAAGCGCTGACTGATGGGACTAAGCCAGTGATGGCGACCCTTTTAGAGCTTTCAAAGATACAAACAGCCCACTGCAGCATGCATGCCATAGGTTCGCCACCACTGGACTGAACTATGAAACACATTTCTTGCCCTCAGGGAATTTAAACTCAAGCAGAAAGACAGTACACATGGCAAACAGTAAGCCAAATAAAGAGAGAGATTTAAAATCGTTCAGTGGAACAACAACAAGGAATGTTGCAAGGCCTGCACAAGCAAAACACTGATGGCTGGAGAAATCAGGCAAGGCAGTTCAGCACAAAGCAGGTATGTCAGAGGACTGGGGCTCAGACTCCCAAAGGAGGCAGACCCCAGACCATCTGAAGGATCAGAGTCCCTGAAGAGTAGAAAAGGGAAGGCCTGAGAAGTGTTCAGCATTTCCAGGGGAGATAAATAGGGCCTGAGATGGGAAACCAATAAACCAGGTTGCCGATTTCAAACCCTCGAAAGAGCTCAGCAAGGCAGAGCTGTGCTATGCCTACAAAGCTCACCTTGTTCTCCTGATCGCCTGGTTCAGCAGGTTCATCTCTTGATACAAACTTATCTACACTGCTGTCAGAAGGCTGCCTGTTGTGACCCATGCTCTCCAATAAATGTGCTCGCTGAAGGGCTTCTAAAGCAGAGAAATGAGATCAAGTGACAAGTTTCAAATGAAAACATGTATGCAAATGAACACCAAGTCAACACAGAAGCACAGGATTTAGATCAGGAAAAAGGATGATCATTCCTAAACCAGTCATTTTCAACTGTTATTTATGACTCCGAAAACAAAGATATCAAAAGATTTGTTCTTGGAAGAGAAGGTAAAATTAAGTCATTCAAGGTCAAAAACAAGACCACTGGGGAGTGTATCACCTGGAGTCAACTTACCCATGGAAGAGCTTCTGAGACACCCCGAGGCCCCGGAAGGAAGGCTGCCCAGCACAGCCGCGGCCTCGGCCTCAGCCTCGTCCTGTGGGGCGCAGACCTGCATGCCTGAGAACTGGCTGTCGGCACTGTCTAACACCTAATGGAACCAAGGGGGCCGTGAGTAGCAGAGAGCGGATTAGGCAAAGAACACAGAGATCACTTACTACACACACACAAATGCACATGGAGACTGCCCAGAGCTTATCATGTGTCCCCACTACATTATGAAAGCACTGACAGCTCCAAAAATTCCAAGGAATTTCAATCTGGAAACTTCTATTTTTATTTTTATCTTTTGGTACCAGGGATCGAACTTGGATCCTTGCGCTTGCGCAGCAGGCGGCAAAACCACTGAGCTAAATCCCCGGCCCTGGAAACTTCTATTTTTGGATAAAAATGGAAAAAATCCAAACAAAAATCTTTTCTTCATAAACAAATTTTATAGTAAATTAGAATAATGTTTCATATCCACTTGAAATCTCCTGTGTCATAAACCTGAAAAAATTGAGCAAGGGACTGACTCTCAAAGGACTAGCAAATCATTGTTGAAATAATTTGATCTAGCATTATCATTTTAAAATTCAGTCTGAATTCCTCATTAAAAAAAAAACAAGCTACATGATCAAAAGCAACCAACAGGACATACCTGTGCTCTACCCTTCAGAAGGTTTACCCCCCAAATCTTAGCTGGTCAACACCTTAGCTGGCTGAATTTAGTGAGCATTGTCACCACAGTAATAGCCCTTACTGAACAGCTGCCGCACCCTGAGCAGAACCACACATACCTACACAACATCCCTTATTTGGTGAAGGAGGCAGACACCGCTCCAGGCTACACAACCAGTCGGCTGCAGAGGCCCTCCTGCCACTGCTGGGTCTGCTGAGGGACCCCCACCCAGCTCTGCTGACTGCTCAGCAGCACTTGCTGCCATCCACTATGAATTATCCACCTGCTGTGATTACTAGCGTGCCTGCCATCCTGCACACACTTGAGCCCCTTAGGGAAGACCTGACAGCCTTCACTCAGCTTCATGAAAGCACAGGTTTGGGTATAAAGCCTTTGCTTCAGCCTCTGCTTTTAGAACAATCTTAGGACACATCAGGAACTAGGTAAGTCTGACATAATTAGTGGTTACATAAAGGACATGGAAAGGCCTCAGGAACCAGAATGACCATATCACTGGCAGGAAGGTAAGGGAGGGTGCCTATGAGCCAAGAACTCCCTGCCCCTGTCCTGTCAAGCTGCTGTGACAGCACAGGGGCAAGTAGGGGATAGGTGAGATGTGGCTAGAGTAGAATTTTTTTTTTTGTTACCAGGGATCGAACTCAGAACGTGCTTGTGAGGCAGGCGGCAGCACCACTGAGGTACATCCCTGGCCAGAGCAGGATTTTGTATTTATTCCAGCATCTCTCTAGATCTTAGAAATGCTTTGCACAATTTAAAATTTAGGAGCAAGTCAAGAAACAAACCCACACCATGTCCTTAGGAAAAGACATTCAATGTTAATCACAACAAAGCAAGCTTTCTTTTCTGCTGGCGCTGGGGACTGAACCCCTGGCCTTCACACTGAGCTCTCTATCCCACCCTCAGCCCCACCCCCTGACCTTGTTGAGACAGGGTCTCGCTAAACTGCTAAGCTGCCTAAGCTGGGCTCACACTTGTGATCCTCCTACCTCAGCCTCCCTTTTAAAAGCTAAAATTGAAATGTAAATTAGAGATGTAAAGCCAATTCCATTTTGGGGTATATACCTTAAAAAACTGAAGCAAGAAACAGGCATGATGCCTGTCAGCAGAGAAAGGGAAAAAGAAAACGTGAGTACACACACAATGGAATCTTATTTAGCCATTAAGAATGCAACCATGTCATTTGCAGGAAAATGGAGGAACATGAGACATCATACTAAATGAAATGATTCATACACAAATTAGCTACCACATGGTTTCCCTTAAATAAAAAACCTAAATTATAAATAAATGAGCAACTAAATATAGGAGAGAGGGTAGGAAACAAGAGGCAAACTCTTGAAGATGGAGTAGGGATCAAGAGGAAAAGAGAAAAAGGGGTAAAAGGATTGAAAATGATCAAGTTATAGTACATGCACATACCAATTCCCCCAAACAAACATCAATCTTCTATACTGGAAACACACATTAATAAAATTTGGGTCTCAAAAAGTATTTGTGTACCCATGTTCAAAAACTACAAGATGGAATCAGCCCAACTGTCCACTGACAGATAAATGGATAAGTAAAATGTGGTCCATACCTAATGGAATATTATTCAGCTTTAAAAGTTAAGAAATTTCTGCTAGGGCATGGTGACATATGATTGTAATCTTAGGTACTTAGGAAGCTGATCACAAGTTCAAGGCCAGCCTGAACAACTTAGCAAGACCCTGTCTCAAAATAAAAAATGGGCTAGGAATGTAGCACAGTGGTACAGCAGTCGGCTAGTGCGCACATGCCCTTGGGTTTAAAGGTCCTGTTAAAAAAGGGTAGGGGATAGGAGTCCTGATATATATGCTAAAACATAAACAGACCTAGAAGACATTATGCTAAATGAAACAAACCCCAAGATCCCACTTACATGAAGACCCTGGTCATCAAGTTCCTAAAGACAGAAAAGAACAGTGGTTTTCAGGGGCTGGAAGAAGGGATGGGAAGTTAGTATTTAGTGGGACCAAGTTTCAGTTTAAGAGGAGGAAAAGACTTAGAACTCGATGCTGGATGCGGTGGTGCATGCCTATAATCCCAGCTACTCAGAAGGCTGAGGTAGGAGGATCACAAGTTCAAGGCCAGACTGAGCAATTTAGTGAGACCCCCATGGTAAAATAAATTTTAAAAGGGGTATGATTATATCTCATTGACAGAGCACTTGCCTAGCATGCAGAAGCCCCTGGATTCAATTCTCAGTACCACACATACACAAACACACACACAATGGTTAAGATGTCCAAATTTATGTTATGTACATTTTACCACACCAAAAAAACGGAGAATAAAACTCAGCATATATTGGTACCAAACTTTCTGATTAGACAAGTCTTGAGGAGTATCCTATCCACTCAGAGGGACTGAAATCCCTGCTGCTTTAAATGGGATACACTGTAGATGCTTTTAGAAAGTCTAAACGTTTTTTAAAAAACAATGTACAGTGTTAAGGCCACAGACCTGTATGAAGGCTTCTTAAGGATATTTTCCAGTAATCAGGGCCCCACAGAGCCTCAAAGAATGTCCAGTGTGGTCAGTGAATATAAACCAGCTAAGCTCATTTTTGGCCTCCTTGTTCAAACAAAAGACACTAGGTAGGCTATTTCATTTAGCAAAGGTATCAGAGGAGGCCAGGCTCTCCACTAATGATCTGAGCTGGTGACCTCTCACTGTTATTTGGGCAAGGTCATAAAGGAAGAGGAAAATGTCTGGGCCTCAGGAACAAGCTCAGGAAGACAGCAGGCCCCGCTCCAGAACACCAGGGTCCCCTCACCCACTTACAATCTCAGAGCTGTCAGAAGGGGTCACAGCTGAATCAGGCCCTTCTGTGGTGGTCTGGGAGCTGTCACTGATGGGTGAAGAGGCCTGGGTCCCATCATTCAGGTCCATGGCAGGGTCGGAAGGAACAGCACTGATTTGGCTGGAACTGTGGCTCAAGATGTCCTCTTCATCTCCATCGGTGGCAGTGCTGGTTAAGTCACAGCTGGACAGATCCACAGAGTCAGCCTGCAGTGTGTGCTGTGACCTGGGCTGCTCAGTGATGATATCGTGATCCATGGACCCAGGTGTAGAGACCCCCGAGGAGGCTGCCAGCTCTCCACTGATTTCACCCTTTACAGAGGCTGGAGACAAAGAAAGGCCCAGCAGTCAGATGGCCAAGCAAACATCCACCAGGGAAAGTATGAAATGCAACAGAAAGTTCAGTGTCATCAAATGTCCTAGCTTCAAATCTGACAACAGTACCTACAGCAGTAAGGTAAGGGTAACTTGCAGACAGTTTGTAAATGCTATGAATATTCTCAAATGGGGTTTCACTGCCAAACCCGAAGTTCAAGTTCTTAAGCAACTACCTGAGGTGTGGCTAGAGCAACGTACAAAGTTAGGCAGAGGCAGCCTAGCAGGGGGCACTGGGCGGGCACAAACACCCAGGGGCTCTATGCAAGCAGTGTCAGAAACAGGCAAATCCGTGGTCTCCTCGGGGTGCACTTGCCTTCTTCCATGCCCTGTTCGAGACCTCTAATCCAGCCCTATTCTCCTGCAGGACAAATATATATCATATTTTACTAGTTTCATTTTGAATTTCCCATAAAAAAATAAAAATATGGGCCAGGGATTTAGCTCAATGGTTCCACTGCCTGCCTGCCAAGTGCAAGGTCCCAAGTTTGATCCCCAGTATCTAAAATAAAAAAAAAAATATTATATACAAACCACTTCACAACGCAGCCCTCAGAAGCTGTGGGCAGTGATCCACTCTAGAGGAAACTGAGTCACAACCACTTCAGCTCTGTACTGCCCAGGAAGGTGTAATTTTCTATTGTTCACTTTTTTTAGCTTTTTAATTAAGAAAAAAAAATCTACTTGTATTTTGTAAAATAGAAGATGCATAATTACCACTGGTATTATTCACACATTTACCTAAAAATGTTCTGTTGGACAGGATTATACAACACCAAGCATCCTCATTTAACCAGGTCTTAGCGTCTGAAGTCAATGCTCATCCTTTATAAAGTCCACAAATGACTTTATCAGGTAACTCTCTAAAAAGGGACTGGAGCGTTCATGGGCAGTGCTCCAGGTACTCCCCTTCCTGTCATCGTCTCGGGCAGGAGACAGCCCCACCCACCAACCCAACCCAAAAGACTGAAACAGCAGAGGCCGAGGGAAACACAGACACACCGACTCAAAGCGCACGGGACAAAAGGGGCTGAGTTACTTGTGTGTGAGCAGGCTGGCTCCACAGCTGCCCCCAGTGCTGTCTGCTGGCTGAGGTGCAGGGGCAGAGGAGGAATAGGACACGAACAGGAGCAACAGCAGCTGCTCCCTGGTGACAACTACCTGCAAAGGCCGAGCTGCTGGCATCTGACCTTGATTCGGAGTCATCCTCCAAGGCTGCTTCTTCTCCTAGGAGCACTTTCCCTAGTGAATAATGCAGCAATATTCCACTTAGGTTGGCTAAAGATAAGAACTTCAAAAATTCAAATAGGTATACATTTTAAATTGAAAATCATGAGCATATTTGATTTAACTTCATATAATTTATCTTCATGTATATTTTAATTTTTTCATTATATTTTTATACCTTTAGTGTTAAACACAAAGAATACAGGGATATTATGTTTAGAACACTATTAAAATCAATAAACCTATATGAAAAGTTAAAGGGAGTGATTCTCTAACTGTACTGCAAAATACATTAATAATTAAAATTTACTGATTTAGATTATCATTACTGCTAAATAATTTATATCAGTATTCAACTTAAGGACGGTACATTATGACAGAAAAGTTCCAATTCTATTAACCTTAGGGTGTTCATGAACTATCTCCAATCAGAATTTATGCAAAAAACTTAATTAAAGAAAAGTCACTTTCATTTTATTATTTTTTAATTTCTAGACTCCGTTTTTTTGCGGGGTTTTTTGGTACTGGGGATCAAACTCGGGTCCTTGTGCTTGTAGGGCAGGCGGGGCACTACTGAGCTAAATCCCCGGCCCTTAAGACTCTGTTTTTAACAATCAGAACTCTAGCGCTATGGTCTGAGAGGATGAAATAATATTTTGTTTGCAAAGTTTTAAAAATATACTTTATAGTTCATATTCAGAATTATATTAGAAAACAAGAAACCAAAAGTTTCATGTGACTTAACTGACCTCATTAAATCACTATAGCTACATTACACATTAATGTCATTATGACACTGTCAAAGAGTCACTGGCAATATCCAGCTTCTAATATAAGTCAGAGTTGTAATAAGTTCCATAAAGTTACACGGTATGACATTAAAGGCACAAAAAAAATAGTGGAGGAAAAATTCACAAACACCAAACCCAAAATCTAGATGAAATTAACACAGGGACTAAATACTAAACAACCGGACATTTTATCAAAGCTAAAAGTAGCGGTGCGTTACTATTAGCCCAACTGTTAGTAGGATCACAAGTTTGAGGCCAGAACCCATGTCAAAACAAACAAACAAGCAAAACAAAACTAAAGAAAACCTTAGTGACTTATTTTGGGAATGTCAAATTCCCCAACAGTGAATTTGGATCTTTTTTCCCTCAACCAGACAGAGGATTCCACCTAGGGAGGGGCTGAGCCACATCAGCAGCCTGTGTTTATTCTTGATGGCTGGCCTCAAACGTGGGATCCCCTGCAGCAGCGGAGATCACAGGCCTGTACCACCACGAGCTGTGGTGAATGCAGATTTAATGAAAGTAGCCCAAGACAGGGGAGGCTCCTCAACAGGACGGGTGCAGGACTGCCATCAGAGAACAGACTCCAAGCTGCCCTATGCCTTCACCCCACAGCTCTTATCTCTTCTATAATGGCAGATTTCACTTGGGGAAAAAATTTTTTTTGCAGCTACAATAAAAAAGTTTGAAAACTACAGCTCTTAACAACAACAACAACAACAACGAAACAGTGAAAAAATTAAAAAGAGATTAAGGAAACACCCTATGTGCTGACAGAGGGCAAAACAACTCATCTAACAACATCAATCACTATCTTTTTCACTCTCTCAAGAAAAGTGACTAAGAAACAAACCAGACTTCAAAGTAACAATCTCTCCTAAGACAGATTAATTTTCTAAGAATCTTCTGGCCTTTAAAAAATTTCAATGTGTCTCTAAAATCTCAAACTCTAATAAATATCCCATACTATAATGGCCCAAATGTTTGTCTGAAGACAGGGTCTCACTATGTTGCCCAGGCTGGTCTCAAATTCCTGGACTCAAGTGATTCTCCTGCCTCAGCTTCCTAAGCAGCTGGGACTACAGTTGCATGTCACCACACTCAGCTGACAAATGTTACTGATTCTTTCAGGAAACATTTGCCTCCTTCAGTAAAGACAAGAATGCTATTCCTGTTAAGATCCCATTCAATACTACAAACAGTCAAACACCGAAATTATGATACAAAAAAGGATTAATCTTTTATGATTTCAAAACAAAAAATAGCAATTTTTTTATGGAAATTCATAATGGAAAAGAAAATAATTGGTGAAGGAAAAGTATCCAATTACAAATGTTTCTCATTTAACAACCGTGTTCTGTTCCTGCGACTAGGTCGTCAACTGAATTGGGCGCTAAGGAACTGTGTACAGTGTACATTACAGAGCCTTTTTTTTTTTTTGGTACTGGGGATCGAACTCAGGACCTTGTGCTTACGAGGGAGGCAGCAGAACCACTGAGCTAAATCCCCAGCCCAAGTGTACATTACAATATTAAGATCCAAGTCATGGCCCAAGCAAACTCAAAGTTGATGACTTTGCTTTGATTTGCATAACTCTTGCATGCAGTATTGTAATATGTAACAGAACATAAAACTACCGTACTGAAAGTAGAATCAGCAACAATTACAGTACTACATAAACAAGGTGAACTGTACCAAATAAAAGACATTGAGGCTCTATCAACAAGATGTACAGAACAGTACAAAAACTGGGGGGTCTTAAATCCAAACAGCACGCCTCGGTCATAACTACATTCAAACAGCTGATAAACAGGTTGGCCGCTTCAGGAGGAGTATCTGTATGTCAGAAACACTTTAATACACATAAATTAACTGTCAGACGCTTTGATATGTACAGTCAAGCAGGGCTGAAATCGATAACCAGGCCTGAGTTAAGATGATTAACTACTTACTGATAGCATTCTTGGCTTAGTCAAATTCTTCAGGAAGGTACATTACCTTTACGCAGAGGCAGCCCGTCTGTGTCTGGAAGTGAGGTCTGCTGGAGCAGACATGCCCAGATCTCCCAAACTGTCCACAGCTGCTTTCCAGCCACAGGGCCAAGCTGAGTATTGTAAAAAGACCAGTGGCCCATATGCTAAAATATTTACTGTGGCCCTTCATGGGATGGGAAAAGCCTGCTGACCTCTGACATAACACATTAGAGATGTATGACGAAGCAGATCTGATACAGAAGCAACTTTTAAAAGCTACCCTACATAACTTCAGGCCTAGTTATCAGTCTCCAGCAACATTCACCCACACAATCACTCTACTGGGAAGGGAGGCAGACGGTCCAGGGCACAAGGGAAACACAGGAAAAGCAGTTGGACTCAACACAAGATGCAGATTTCAGAAGTAATCACCTTTTTGCTTTCTTGAAAAGACAGGACTGCATGAAGAACCCCCTCCAACTGTAAACCACAGAAAGTGATAGATCAAAAGAAAGTAATAAGCTATTAAAATCAGAAGAAATCTGAACATCTTCAAAAAGCTTGATGCAACTTAAAAACTGGGGAAAATGTCAACATATTTCCAAAGGAAGTGCTTAAATACCATAGTGCAACATCTTTTAATTTCAATGTGAAAAGTACATTAACATTCAAATATGGAGTTCTGAAGATATAACTGAAATGCCAAAAGAACTATAATTAGCTGCATTTTAACAGCCAAATTAAAAACAGTAGAGAGCTCAGATTATTTCATCAACTACTAATCAAGTAGAGATGTTCACTGAGAACAATTGTTAGAGATAAACACTTGGAAGACATGCAGTCCATCAGGAAAGGACTCTGCAGCACAGAGGGCAGCCGGGCACATCTACGTCTCTCCCTAAAGGCCGAACACACGTCCATGAGGCAGCACTCAGGCGCCCAGTCAGATTCTTGCTGATTCACCAGCATGGTGCAGAGGCCCCATGAGAACACACACTGCCCTCCCCATCCCGCCCCGGGCCCCGCAGCAGCCACAGAGACGCCCAGGCACCAGGAGCTCCACAGACCTGCTGCACACCAGGCCCACTTCTGGAGGTGGAGACCCAGGGATCCCCGCCTATCTCTGCTTCCAAGGGTACCTCAAGTCAACCCATTGAGCTGCCTGAGCAGCCCCTTGTACATTCAGAGCCCAAGCCCCACGAGTACAGAGAAGCACAGAGACCAGAACCAGAGGTATACATCAGGGCTGGGAATGAAAAGGATTTTAAAGTCAGGACTCAGAAAGCAGAAAGGAATTCTGAAACCCAGACAAGGCTTCAAGATCCCATCTCAGGCAAATTAACACAAAAGTCCTGGAAAGACCCTCCTGTTTTCATTTCGCAACACCTGAAATGCCAGGCAGGGGCAGTGCAGTCAGAGCAGGGTCCAGCTGTCCAACATCTGGCCTCATTCTGCCACCTGACTCTAAACTTCAGGTCTCCTGCAAGCTGACTGTATGTTTAGGCAAAGAACTCGGCAGGGATGCCTTAGCACACTGCAGCCCCACAGTGCTCGAGGGTCTCCAGTGACCAGAGGTGGTTGCAAGCAGACCTCACCAAGAACACACCTAGAAGCTCCACGATGCTCCCACTGCGGCCCCGGGCCTCCTCCTGAGCCACAGAGAGCTGAGCCAGGCCCCCAGGAGTGGTCAGCGCCTGCAGCAGCTCAGGCGGGGGTGTGCGGAAGAGTTGCTGCAAGAGCTCCAGGGCGCCTGTCACCACATTGTGGTCTTGGTGCTTTGTGTGATGCAAAGTCAGCTGGTAAACCTAGAAAGAGACACAGGAGGAAAAAAAAGGCAAGTGCTCAACTGTGGCTTAAAAATGTCTCACGGCTTTCCCTTTTTGATAGGTCACTGCTGGGAAAGTCTGCACCTTAATCTCTCCCTCTAAACGCTGTCACTTCTGCCAGTGTGGTCGCAGTGTCCATGTGTTCTGGACACCTGTGATGTTTCACTGGCATACTGACCCTTAGAAATAAACTGAGCACTGCCCCTCAAGCAGTGGTGCGCTAATTCAGCTCTCCACTTCCCAAAACTAGTGCTAGGAGGGGAGCAAGCCCAGCAGACACCATGGTGGAGGTGGGTGGACACTCCCAACAATCCAAAGCAGGCTCCAAGCACCCATGTCAGAGCTGCCAGAAACGTGAAAGGCATCTTGGGTCACATCTTATTAGTGCGCCTACTACTTACTGTATCACATTATATGCACGAGCGAATTTATTCTTTTTCACATTAGAGCTGCCGGCTACAACACAGGGTACTCAGCTAAATTTCAATTTCAGACAAACAAATAATTTTGTAGTATGTCTCATGCAGTTTGGAAGAAAAATTACAAAATTACTTACTATTTACCTAAAATTCAAATTTCACAATCATGTTTGTTAAATGTCCCAACCTTACCTTTACTATCATAAAATACTTAGATTTCTTGCTTAGAAGTCAATGTAGAACAGTATGAAATAAAAAGTCAAAATCTGCCAGGGATTTAGCTCAGTGGTTCTGCCACCTGCCTCAAAAGTGCAAGGTCCTGAGTTCGATCCCCAGCACAAAAAAAAAAAAAGTCAAAGTCTCCCAAGCAGCTTTAATACTTGATTTTAAGCAATTCTGATTGCAAGCTGCATAACCCTAAATTATAGGAAGGCAAACTGGAGTCACAGGCCCCATCTGGCCAGTGCTTGCTTTTGTGCATAGTTTCCCTGAGAAACACCTGGACAACAACCATGGCAGAACTGCTCTGAGCACAATCCTAGGTGAGATATCTTGTTTCCTGGATTTCAGAGCTTCTTCTTTTATTGGATTTATGTCTCCTTTTGCTGGAATTTATCTCCAAACAATTATTGTCAAAAAGCGTGTGTGCAAGGCACACTAGCACCAGCCAGGCCACCAGTGTCCACATTCTGTCCACACACGTGCTTGGTGCATACCCTGCCCAGCCCAGTGTGTGAGGGTGGCCAGGCCTCCCCCAGCACCGTGCTGGATGGGGCGGATGCTCAGTCAGCACTTCCTGAGTGTGCACGCACAGTCACAACCCTATCCCAGCGTATGTGACACCCTCAGCACCTGCCACACTCTCCCAATGACATGGACACGGGGAGATCACCAGTCAAGCAGCCATGCTCCAGAGCCCACACTGCTCATGCTCAGCTCCGCCCCTTCTCACACAAATCACTCAGATCTTTTGTTGGTTGTGATTTAAATACAGAACGTCACCCTGTCCTACCTGGACCAGCTGCTCTGCAGACGGGGACACTTCCATCTCTTTTCGAGTCACCCCAAAGCTGCCTTTCAGGCTTGTGTCCTTGACCTGCTGCTGCAGCAAGGGCACCAGATACCTCAACGTAAGCAGCACCCCGAGGATCAGGAGTGTAGGGTGTTCTTCCTCCACTGGAACCAGTAGACCTACAAACGGAGCCACAGGACTTCTCAACGGCTGCTGCACTGCTCAGAGACTTTTTTTGGTACTGGGGATCGAACTCGGATTCTTGTGCTTTTGAGGCTGGCTGCAGAACCACTGAGCTAAATCTCCAGCCCCTACTCAGAGACTTTTAAAAGCAAGAGACCTGCAGGACCGCCCTCTACTAAGGCTGGTGTAAGGGACAAAGTGGGCACAGATGTGACTGGAAGAACAGACTGGGTGCCCAGATCCGGGAGGGCCTCAGCTTAGTGTGGCCCTCACAGAGATCGACTGCAACCATGCCAGGCAGTTATTTTACAGCAAACATGCACCTCCAGTCCAGCACTCACTAGTGTGATTTCCACAGTTGCTGAAACTACAGGAAAAACTGCGAGCAGGGGACTTGCAAGAACAGAGGAGGGTCAGGCCGCACATTGTTCCGCTTCCCCTGGCCAGTGAGATGCCCGTGGGCACTGCAGCAGCTGTAGTCACAGACCCTACATGTGCACACAGCAGGCCCGGTGCAACTCAGTTACCCGGCAGCCCAGAGCCGCAGCCAGGTCTGGACGTCGAGGGATCAGCTGGTTTAGCCAAGACTTCTAGTCCTAAGGAAGTACCAGGCAGGGACCTTACCCAGGAGCACGTTGAGCAGCCAGCTATAGAAGTACTGCGTCCTCCTGGAGTGCTGGCAGATGCTCACTGCCGAGCCAGCTGCTGTGCGCCGGACCGTAGGGGAGCTTGACTTCAGATTTGCTATGAACGCCTTCAACAGAATCTGGAAAGACAAAATCCAGACAGGCCAAAGATGAAGCTGCTGTGAGGGTTATCGCATGTTTCATGAAAGTGGACTTGAACTGGAAGAGAGCACTGGAGTAGCTTTACCATATACTTGATCCACAGCACACACACATAAAAAAGCCAGGCGTGGTACACCTGCCTGCAAATTCAAAGCTAGCATGGACTACGGAGCAGGACCTTGTCTCAAAAATCCAAAAAAAGGGAAGAAGAAAACAAGGATTAGGAGGTTCAAATTCTTGTCAAGTATAAATTACAAACAATTAAGACTTTCCCACAGCTGAATGGAAGAATCCCAAACCTGGGATAGTCAGGAGACTGATAAACACATGGTCTGCCTCCTTCTTTCTAAACCACAGTAAGGACCCCACAGAGCTGATGCCCTCCCTACATGCAAGGTAAAGCCTCAGCAGCCAGAGAAGGTCCGCTCCCATGGCTCCGCACCCGGCCGGGGAATGACAACACCACACAAAATGAACATGCCCAGAGACAACATCAACAAATATAAATACAAAAACGCAAAGGGAAGAGTACCAGGCGACTGCCAACTACTGAGGAAAAGTGATTTCCATCCCCAAATACTACACCCAACCAAGCATAAAGAAGAAATGAAGGCATCTGGAGGAATGCCAAATCTCAATTTACTGCCCATTCCTTCTCAGGAAGCTACCAGGGACTGTGTTCCACAAGACAGAGACATGGCCTCTCGGACCCAGGCATCCCACAGTGATTGGCAAAGGAGTCCCAGGAAGACAGCAGAGGAGAGCCCTGGGGATCAACCAGGCAACAGACACAAGGGCAGCTAGGCCACACAGGCAGAGCGGGGGGTTTCTGGGTGGAACACTCTACCAAGGGGAGGCGCCACCAAACCACAGTGTGTCACATGGACAACTGCATGAGATGCAGCGTGCAGAGCTGCTGGACGGGATGAGGCCGTGCCAGCTAGGGAGTGTCAATAAGTGTAGGAGAGGCAATAATTAACTCCAGGAAAACGGAAAGTTGTACAAAGGGATATACTCCTGTGTATGCAGCGTGACTGTTTACTTGCACGGAATAATGTACACATGAGGAAGCATGGTGGTGCACAACCAGAATTCTAGCAACTCCAGAAGCTGAGGCAGGAGGAGAGCATATTGAATGCTGATATAACTACAGTGAAAAGATAGGAGAAAGGTTAAAGTTAAATCTATCTCTTCGTTGTAAAATGTCTAAAATACAGAAATCCAAAAACAGAAGTCCAAGCATGTTACTTAGGAATGTGAAATATTAAGGGCTGTGTCCGCCCACAAGACAAGGCTTAGGAGAAAAAGAGAAGGGCCACTATCTTCGTTTATAGTGCTCTTAGTACTCCTGAACTTCACTGATAATAAATTTGAATAGACATAAAAGGACACAGAAGCAGAGAAATAAGACTTTTTTAAATGCCAAAAATTCTGGAAAGAGATAGTTAGTGGCTACTCTATACAAAAATGAAAAAAAAAACCATAACCAGAACTATAACTACAAAACACGATCTGTACTAAGAGGCTGAGGCAGAAGAACTGCAAGTTCAAGCCTAACCTGGGCAACTTAGGAACTTAGCAAGACCTTGTCTCAAAATTTTAAAAAGTCCTGGGAATACAGCTCAGTGCAGAGCCCAAGTTCAATCCCCAGGACCACAAAAAAAGAAGAAAAAACCCACTATCTTTCACCAGATGCAGTGACACATGCCCATAACCTCAGCTAAGCACAAGGCTGAGACAGAAGGATCAAACGTTCGAGGCCAGTCTGAGCAACTTAGGGAGACTGTGTCGCAAAATAAAAAGGGCTGTGGTGTGGCTCAGTTGTAGAGCACCCCTAGATTTGATCTCCAGGACTGAAAGAAAAAAAAATCACTACCCACCATCTGTCTGGTTCCAGCCCCTGCCAAGCAGAGGTGTCACAGAGGCAGCTGCTCCCAACAGCCCCACCATGCAACAGCCACACCTCTTCTGCCTTGCAAGCCCAGGGGCAGCCACCCTACTTCAGAGGGTGGACTGAATCTAAGAGTGGCAGTGGCCCTACTCACTGAGCATGAGGCTTTAGTTACTACACTCAAGTTTTTAGAGTCATCATCTCCCTTCATCATCCCAAGCCTCATGAAATTGGGTTTTAATATCACCTTAATATTAAGGAAAAAACTTTGAAGCTCCAAGAAAAAAAGTAAGAAGCAGGGTCGGGAATTTAGCTCAGTGGTTCTGCTGCCTGCCTCACAAGTGCAAGGTCCCAAGTTCAATCCCCCGTACAAAAAAAAAGAGGGCTAAACAGCTTACCCAAGGGCATAGGACTAAGGACAGAACCTGTGAGCTGCCTCACTCTCAGAAGAGCCCTCCATGGGAACACTACACAAAATGAAGACGCCCAGAGACCACATCAACAAATACTGACCAAAGGGAAGAGTACCAGGTGACTACTGACTACTGAGGAAAAATGATTTCCATCCCCAAATACTACACCCTTCAGGTCCCATCTTAAGAACAGGAAAGAAACAAGCTAAGTGGCTGGGTGACTGGCCTAAAGGGAAAGAGCTGGCAGAGAGGACAGACTTCCAGTCCATGTCCACCTAGCTCCAAAGGGAGGGCTCTCACCACTGCACTCTCAGGAGCCCAAGCAGAGCCACAAACACAAAGGGGCCACGAACCCTACAAGCTGCAGCCTGTGAGACACAGTTGCAATCTGGACATCTTAAAAAAAAACCCTAAAGCGGCCGGAGATTTAGCTCAGTGGTTTCACCGCCTGCTGGGCAAGTGCAAGGACCAGAGTTCGATCCCCAGTACCAAAAAACAAAAAACAAACAAACAAAAAACCCTAAAGCAACCTTGCAAGTGGCCTGTTGAAATGCAACTGAACTGCTGTGTGGCCATGGGACTACAGGGTACTCACAGCCACGGGCCCCCGTGAGCTCTGCTACTAGTTTCTCTCCTCAGCTAGGTTAAGGGCCAGTCCTATACACCAGAGACAATCTGCTCTAGAAAGTGCTATTTGAATCTGACTCTCTGAACCACCTCCCTACTAAACTCTTCCCTGGTGACAGAAAGGCAGAAGTGGATAGAAACTCCCTCAAAGTGACACAGATGAAGGGGAACTAAATTATGAAGCACAATATGATGCAAAAAGTACTCTCAAGCGACTGTTTAACCAGGAGGCTAAGCCCACAAGACTCCTTCACAGCATCAATCACATGGCTGTCACCAGAGGCAGCAATCATACCTTAATTTCATTGTCATTTGCAAAATTGCCAAAAGAAGCCATAATTTTGGGAATAGCTGCAGCCAAGGTCTCCTGGACGGATTCCTCAGGTCTCCTGCTTGTTCGAGTCAAGCATGGCAGAAGATTCACCAGGTAAGGCCTGTGTGCAAAAGAAGACTTGTCATTTTACAGATTCTCTAGCTCCCTGTGGGGGGAAAGCCAGGTGTATAAGCACAATGGCCCTTAAAGCAGACTAATAGTGCTCAGCTAGAAGACCAGGAGGACTAGACACAGATGGAGTTCAACTGGCCTCCATCATTCCAGTTTCAGAGGACTCTTAAGCTCAGCTCAAGCTATCTGCAGTGAATTATAAGAGGTATGAAAATTCTCATTTTCAATTGGAAACCATAGGTAATATGAGAAAACAGTACATTAAAAATATTCAAGTGAATATAACTTTCCTTTAAAAGGAGAAAACTAGGGCCGAGGATTTAGCTCAGTGGTTCTGCCACCTGCCCTGTAAGCTCAAAGACCCAAGTTTGATCTCCAGTACCATAAATAAATAAAATAAAAGGAGAAAACACGTTCAAACCAATCAAGGCCTTCAAGCTGCAACCTGGACTTCTGGTGAGGAAACAAACGTGTAAGGAAGAAACAGTGAGCGACCCTGGACAGGCAGCACTCAAGGCCACTGGCAGCACAGACCACTTCCTGACGCAAAGCCCAGGGTAGCTGGGAATACGTTAGACAAGAGGCCAGAGGCCTCTCAAAGGAGGGTATTCTTTTGTGAGGCCTGAGGGGAAATACAGTGACTTGTTTGAGAGAGTGCACTGCGTCTACAGTGACGAGGCCAGGGGGCCTGGGTGAGGGGTCTGGACTGCATGTGAATGGCACTGAGGATGAGTAAGGAGAGACCCTAAAGCAGGGACATCAAGACGATTATGTCTTTTAAGGTCACTTCAGCTGTTTTGTGGGGAACTTGGGGTGTGCTGCTTCAGGACTATAACAAGTTTTTCAAAATAAGGATAGTTGGGCTGGGAATGTGTAGTGAGGCCTGAGTTTAATTCTCAACACATCCATGCATTAATATAAAGAGAGTAAAAGGAAAGGGGTTATAAAAAGAAACTTCCTTAGTGAGTGTGTCCTACACCCATACAAGATGTTTAACCAAATGCAACCTCAGAGCAATATGTCACCATTACCCATGAACAGTCAGGGTTTAGGCCCCTCTACCTACTAGCTTCTCGGGGAGAGCTGAGGGTACATGTCCCTCTGGGACATGGGCATGTTGTGCCAGTTTGAGAAAAGGGAGGAGCTGATGAAAACTACAGTCCTGTATTATTTTTTAATCCGCTACAAACTGTTTCGACCAGTCAAAACTTTATGCACAGTCCAACATTCACCTTTTCAACCACTGTAGTAGACAATGCCTGTTTTCCTGTAACTCCTAGAACTGGTGGTGATAAGGCTGCTGATTATCTGGGGCCGAAGCAGAGAACAAGACAGCAAGGCCCCTGCTGCTCTGGGGTCTGCATCCTGTAAGTCTCAGGCAGAGGATAGGACACGAAGCAAGCAAGCCCAGGAGTGAAGTGCATGGGGTACTCCCGACAGGGTCAGTGCTGGGGAGGAAATATGAGCCGGCAAGCGCAAGCATAGAAGGCAGAGGCAGCCCACCTCAGGCGGCGGGGCGGGAAGAAGCGCAGAGGGGACACGCGCTGAGATGGAAAGGATCACCAGGAGCGGCCACCCACCAACAGCAATGATACAATGGCCCAGAGGGCCGACATACCTGCACTTCTGAGGCCGAACCAGGTGAGCCAGCTCAGCAAACCTCCACAGGGCAGCACGCAAGCTCCGAGGGGCGCCGTTCTGAATGGGTTTAATCAGCAAAGTGTCATGTTAAGAGCACACGATTGCCATAAAGAGGTTGCATGGAAACAAAACATTCTCTGATATTTTCTCCTTTTAGAGAAAAAGCCAGTTAAATATATATCTTTTTTTTTTTTTTTTTTTTTTTTTAGTACCAGGGATGGAACTCGGGACCTTGTGCTTGCAAGGCAGGTGCCAGAACCACTGAGCTAAATCCCTGGCCCCCAAGCTAGTTAAATATATGACATATCTGGGAACTACTTCAGGGATTTTTTAAGGTCCAGTGGGCTTCATTTATAAAGTTATAAAAAAATTAAGTTGCCATTTTTAACTTCCATCTCATCTAATGAAAAGTAACCTCTTGAAGCAAAGTAGAACAATAAAGTCAACATTTGCAAACAGCATTTCCTTCTCACAGTTTTACTTTTCAACTAAAAGATAGCTTCCCATATACTGCTCATTGCCCATATAGCACAATGGAAAGTGAAGGCCTGCCTACCTTCTTGATTTCCTTGTAAAGTTCTAACTGGAGCCTTGGCAGGTTGGAATCCATCAAAGCCTACAGGGGAGAAAGAATTAAAAGCACGATATCACAGCAATATACACACACCCATGTTTATAGCAGCACGGTGTGTAATACCTAAAGCTTGGAAAGAGCCAAGTGCCCATCAACTGAAGAACAGACAAAGAAGATGTGGGGTTTTTTATACAATGGAGTACTACTCAGCCATAAAGAAGGATAAACTTGAGACATCTGTAACTAAATGGATGCATCTTAAAGTGAAATAAATCAGACACACGTTTCATGTTTAAATACCAAATTGTTTCTCTGGTGTGCAAAACTGAGAGTGTAAATAAGGACCAAAAGTGTATAACAGATATTGGGAAATGGGAAGAAAATGTTCAAATGGGAAGGGGAACAAGGGAGGGGGAAAGGAAAGGGACAAAAAAAAAGAATAAAAGGAAAAAAATAGAAATAAAACTTTTGTAAATAAGGAGGGGAAGAGAGGTTGAAGGGAAAGGAAAGGAATGGGAAAAAAAGAACCAGCAAAATATATTATGTACAAGTACAAATCTCCTGATGAAAGTTATCACTATGTATATCTAAATTGTACCAATAAAAACTGTAAAACACACACACAAAAAGGATGTTTAGCAAAGGGATAAAAAAGCCTACTGGGAAGTACAGGAGATCTGTTTATGGAGGATACAGTCCTCTCCTGGGCCTAAAGAAAACTAAAAGGGAACCAGATCTTCCATTTGAGGCGAAGTAAAACATAACTAAAACTAAACTAGGCAGTCGTTCATTAAGAGAGAAGCAGGCCTGGGGATGTAGCTCAGTGGTGCCGCCGCCTGCCTCACAAGCACAAGGTCCCGAGTTCGATCCCCGGTACCAAAAAGAGAGAACCACATGTATGCAGAAGTCATCACATACACCAGATACTGATCGCTCTCCCAAAGAAAACATGAAGGACAAAGAATGAACTTTCATGGTAAATACTATGTAAATCAAATTTAAAATGAACTCTAAAGCTCTCACAGGAGCCTCCCATCTGCACTAGTGGTCCACGGACGACTGCGGCTGAGGCCACTCAAGATCACAGGGTGGGAGGCTGAGGAGTACTCAGGAGTCCCAGCCCACCCTCTTCTGCCGCTAGGCGGGCAAACCTAGCTGGACCCTGATCCTACTCCCACCCACTGAACCTCACGGCCACAGGTCTACACAAGGAGGCAGATCTGAGTGCAGCAAACACTCTCACACCAACTGTAAACGAAAGGGAGGAGAGAGGCTGTCTTATGTTCGGGATGTACTGTGAGACGCTGGCACTTCTGCACCTGGAGACTGGAAACACAGACGAAATGGGAAAGAAGCAGAGAGTAGGGCAGCAAGAGAACCGGGGCCTACAGCTGCAACCTAGAGCCACTGTGCACAGCCTCCAGACCTGGGCCAGCCCACTGTCCAGCAACTCCGGGAAAGGCTGAGGAAGGCAGGCTTCAAGCCCAAAACAATCGGTATCAGAGGGTCTGAGTCTTACTGCTCTGTCTGTCCCTCCTGACCACCTCCTTGCCACGCACAAGGCTATCCATGATTACCCACCCCTGCATCAGGCTGGGGAAGCAGTTTGGCGGAAAAGTATATGCTTAGCATGCTTGAGGCCTTGGGTTTGATCCCCAGCACCATAAAAAAATAAAGAACTTTCAAAAGAACTGAAATACCAGGGAAAGCCTGGCCTGGTCCTGCTAGTGCAAATAATAAAAGTGAGCAAGAGTATCCAGGCCTGGGGAAGCAAGTGGAACTGAAACAGGCCATCTGCAAACACACTGTGGGACACCACCATGTGGGGGGCACCAGTGCCCCAGCCACACACAGCGGGTGACACTGAGCCTGTCATCAAGTCACTGTGGGCAGGCAAAAGCATCAGGAACAAAGTTCAGGTGCAGGGAAGGCACGACAGCAGCTACACAGAAGCCCTGAACAAAAAAAGCATGGTGGCCTGGAGACCATCTGCCACCCAGGCAGGAAAGATTCCCTGGGCAACAGGACTCCTGAGACACACGTAACAGAAAACAGAAAGCAGCAGGTGCACGGTCACACCATGCCCCTTCATGGTCCACTTCACTGGGCAGAGTGTGAAAACTATATTACTAATAAAATTACTGGCTACCACCCCAAGGGACCAGGATGTGACAATGCCCACACAAACATGTACACACAACAAAAACTCTTTGGTCTCATTTTATAGTTGAGAAAACTGAGTCTCACAGAAATTAAGTACATTTCCAAAGTTGTTCAGTTGATAAGTATAGAGGCAAGATTCTAACACAGACCTCTCTACACATTCTGCCTATCAATGATTCGTATATCCTTTAATTGTGACTGTCAACTTGACTGGATTAAGAAACAACGTCTGGGTGTGTCTGGGTGGGCCAGGCAGGGGTGACCTACGGGGCCCTTTCCTCTCTGGCTCCCTTCCCAGCCACTGTGAATGAAGCAGCTTTGTTCCATTACATCCTTCCACCAGGATGTTTCTGCCTGGGAACCAGCTGAGCACAGACTGAACCCTCTGAAACTGTGAGCCATAATAACCTTTTTCTCTTTTAAGTTGTATATATCAGGTACTTTATCCCAATAATGGTGAAGTGACTAGTATAATTCTTGACTTCCTTAGACATAGGAGCAACTGGGTGACTCCCTTCCTGAGGAGGCTGGACCCATGAAGGAAGGGGAAGTTTACTGCTTGGGCTAGGTAAGATCTGACACTCTGCAAAGTAAAGCTTTGGAAAGAGACCATAGGACAGCTCTGTCCTAAGACTAACAGGGAAGGGAAATAACAAACCTACCCTTGGAAGGCCGGGGATTTAGCTCAGTGGTTCTGGTGCCTGCCTCGAAAGTGCAAGGTTCTGAGTTCAATCCTCGGTACCAAAAGAAAAACAAACCTAACCCTTGGAAGGATGGAATTGTTGGTTCAAGTGAGTATGACCAAGAAGTCAGTCTTCAAGGAAAGGGACGAGATGGTACCCTTTCTCAAAGCCTTATCTAAATTTCAGTGCTCAGACCAGAAGTATAGTAGTGGGGGAAAAGAGGAAAAACTTCAAAGGTCCAATAAAACAGGAACCCTGCAGAGAGGAGAATAAGAAACACATTCTCCTTAACTATGGTCAAGAAACAGGTTTTGGAGAAAGTGCCAAGAACTGTCACAGACCCTTCATCAGCACCAGTCAGCCTACAGAGGGAGCAATACGTACCTGTGGGCTCAATTCAAAAGGCCCATTCACAAACTCAAGGTGTAATCAAATCAGAGGACCAGGACAGGAACTCACACAAGTAAGGGCAGAATGATAAAAACAAGCATAGTTCTGCAAAATGCTAAGAATCAGGGCACAGAGGAAGGACTTTAATCTTCAGCGGCAGCAGAAAACAAACAAAAAAAGGAACAGCAGATTAGAGCCACAGTGACTGGAGCAGATGCTGAGACACAAGGACAGAGCAAGCCCAGTGCTCCGCCCTCCCTCCCTCCCTCTCCCAGCAGAGAGACCCAGCAACAGTGCTGTCCTGTCTTGGTCACCCTGTGCTGGGCACTCCTTGCCCCCACTCATGTCATGCTACTTCTAGCTAGCCCAGTAGCTCGAGAACCCCCACTGTTACCTGCAAGCAGTGCTGCCTGACCTCTCTCAGGAGGGACAGGTGAAGGACACAGAGGAGGGGACACTAGAAACACCAAAGCTAGACTTCACTCCTGCTCCACTGCTTTCTCAGGGCAATGCTCACCCAAACAGTGCCCCAGACATTTCCCCCGGGAGCAGGAGGTGGCTACCTCAGAGCTCCTCTCTGAGCCCCACAGTACCAGGGAAACAGCGCCTTCCCCCTGGGCTGGTACCTAAATTAAATGCCTGAGATGGAAGGCTGCAGACATCCTCCGGCCAAGCCACCCCAGACACAAGAACACTGGCTGGAGGTGACTCCTCCCTGCCTACCATGACTGCAGCTCCTAGGTGACAGAGCCCCAGGGTTCTTACTTTGATAACTTTGTTGAGGCATTCGTCAGCCACCATCCTGACATCTGACTCCACATCATCACTGCACAACAGGAAAAGTTCCATGGCGATGCCCAGGAGTTTCTGAAATTCTGGAGAATTTCTAAGTAAAGAAAGAAGAAAAATTGTCACAACCAACAGGCACCTAAGGAGACACGATCAGAAACTATGAGCTGCCCAGTATCCTGGATGGATTCTGCAGGAGAAAAGGGACATACGTGAAAATTAAGAACTGTAACCAGGTGTGGCGGCACACACCTGTAATCCCAGGTACTTGGGAGGCTGAGGCAGGAGGGTCACTGGGTTTGCATCCTCTCATAGTTAACTTGCTTTGCGGCCCAGCATCTGGCCTCCACTGGCAGACATTCTGTGAAAACATGATGAGTGAATTGTGTAGTGTCCCATGAATGTCAATCAGGTCACAATAGGGGAGTAACTGGTCGAGTCTTCTAGATCCAATTTTAGGCCTATATGTTCTATAAATTATTAAAGAAAGCTGCTGAAATCTCTGGCTTTAACTTTTTACTTGCAGTTATATCTACTTTTCCTTCATGTATTTTCAAATTTTTATTAGTATGTGTTCGCATGTACATTCATCATGGGGAACTGGTACATGAACATTTCTTCATGTATTTCTGAAGCTCAGCGGTTGGGGCATAAACACTTAGGATGATTATACCCATTTGAAAACTGATCCCCTTCATTAGGAAACAGCCACCCTGTCTCAAGTAGCAGCCTTAGCTATGAGATCCATTTTGTCTGGGATTAGTACAGCTACTCTGGCTTCCAGCTGGCAGTGTAATCCCCGCCCCCCCCCCGTGTGTGTGTGTATGT